TTTCTCTCTCCATCTCATCGACTATAAAACCCACAAAACCCTGGTACTCGCGTTCCTGCTTGGCTCAGTCTCAGCATACGGCAGTCGTATTCGATCTAGGGTTCTTGATTTCATTTTCAGTACAATCTTGGGTCATCAAATCCAGCGGTTGTGGTTTTCTCATCGCCATTTTTTTTCTTTTATCACCATGCCTCCTCGCGCATCATCAAAGAGAAAAACGGCCCCACCCAACTCCACATCAACCGACGGTCGTTCTTCTGGTAAACGCCATTCCCTGTCCCCCTTTCCAATGTTCAATTTGCCCTGCTTGGTTGCGCCAGAAAGCGCGGGAAAACAGAAGAACAAAAGGGAAATTCAAACCCTGGATCCTATCAAGAATTACGATAATTGATTCTTTTTTCTTTTTTTTTCTGGGTTTCATTTTCTTGGAGAATACTGGGGGTTTTGAGAAACCGCGGGAAAAAGAAGGGATTAGTTGAATTGGGAAATCCATTTGTAATTATTTGGTTAATGATCTTTTGTTACCAGAGAAATTAATTCTAAGAGAAATGGAGTAATGGGCAAATTTGATTTTTTTTTATTATTATTGTTGATTTTATGGTCTATATAGATTTTCTGTCTGGAATGGTAGTTTCTTGTTTTTTTAATTTAAATTGTTTCTGTTTCTGTTTTGGTTATCTGGGATAACATTCATAGAGAATTCTTGCAATTATTTGACTCAGATGATGCTTTTATATTTTGCAGCCTCAAGTAAAGCTAAAACAAAGGCAAGAGATCAGATAGATCAACTGTTCGATGCATATGCAAATAGTTCATTACAAATGATTGAGTAAGTATATATATACCATGAATTTATTATTATTATTATTATTTTGAATTCTGTAGAGTTTACTGATGTAATTGTTAGCTGCTGCAGATAGTCATTAGTGAACTATACCTGGATGGAAGGACCCATTACTTTTGTTTATATTTACTCAATCTTTAACGTTACCATTGATGTCATTTTTTTTATGTCTAACAATATTGCAGCTCTTTCGGTTTTGTTGATCGTAGTGTTGTATTCAACTCTTGCGTTCATTCACATTTGTTGCAAAGATTTTAGGGAAAAAAAAAAAAATTGCGCTGCAACATTTTTGCTTATTCATAGATGAGAATTCACCCCTTTTAATGTGAAGCGTACCCAAGGAACCAAAGATCATATTGCACATGAGAAGTTGATATAATGACACCTACTGAGGTGGTTCAATGGGATTTAAGACTAATTTTTTTCCTTTTTCACTCTCTTTCTATTTCTTTTCATTTGTTTGAGCAGTCCAGAGGGAATTGAGGCACTCTGTTCAGATCTGGGAGTGGACCACACTAATGTCAGGATATTGATGTTTGCATGGTATGTACTATGTAATGTACTGCAGATTTATTTCTGACTCTGTATTTTGGTGTAACTATCTTTTAACCTTCTATCCTTTGTGCATCTCAGGAAATTAAAAGCGGAAAAGCAGGGCTATTTCACCCAGGTGAGTGAATTAAAATTTATACTGCATGCTGCCATTTGAGCTTTCCATACTAGAACATTTAGGTTTTGAATAGTCCAACAGACCAATATATATGGACTTTCTTTTCAGTTGCATTGGATTTTAAAGACGGTAATTAGTTACCTTTCCTCTCTTTTCTTGTTTAATACATGCCTTCATCAGTAACCTTCTTTAATTGTTCATCCCTAAATCAGGATGAGTGGCGAACAGGCCTGAAAGCTTTGGGGGCAAATACTCTTAGCAAGCTGAAAAAAGCACTTCCAGATCTGGAGAAAGAGGTATTTATATCTACTGTTGCTGTTGTTGGATTTGTTTCAAACTTCTTCCATAGATGAGATAGTCACAATAATAATTTTCTTATTCATATTTTGAAAAGGTGAGGACACCACCAAATTTTGAGGATTTCTATTCTTATGCATTTCGGTACTGTCTAACAGGTCTGTGCTCTATTTGAATTCAAGTGCAGCCTCTTTTTCACTTTCCACTTGCTTTTTCTTGGAATTATTTTTTTTAATAAGAATATGATTTTGACCAACTACAACAGAGGATAAACAAAAAAATGTTGACATTGAGAGTGTTTGTGAGTTGTTGAATCTTGTTCTGGGGTCTCCATTTCGTCCCCAAGTCGATCTGCTGATTGAGTATCTAAAGGTGACTGGCTGTTTCTGTTCTCTAGGATGTTGTTATTCATTAGGGAAGGAAAATGCTGAAAATATATAGATCTTTATATTTGTCCCTTATTATGTCATGTTGTTTGGACTTGGATTTTTTACAGTTCCAGAGTGATTACAAAGTGATAAACCTAGATCAATGGTTGAATTTTCTTCGTTTTTGCAATGAGGTAATTGTTATATTTTCTGCTTTCACTGATTTTCATTGTCACCAACCTATGTTGGCTTTGGCTTACCTACCCAAAAGGGTTTCTTAACTGATAAAGCATTTTTAGGAGCCATATATGATACATTCACATTCTATATAGAGGGCAGTGGAGACCAATAATAAAAAATAAGTCAACTGAAAATTTGTTGAAACTCTTGCTTGCAGATCAGCTTTCCGGATCTTAAAAATTATGATTCAACTGAAGCTTGGCCCTTGATCCTTGATAATTTTGTTGAATGGATGAAGAAAAAGCATAGCTAGCATCAATATATTTCGTGCACTCTGCTTGTTTCAGAGAAATTTATTGGTTACACATGGTACATACATCCATATCTCTCTTGATTGAATTGGATTCTATTGACTTTTTCTTTTTTCTTGACCTTCTAGATTCTATTGACTTTTTTCTTTTTCTTTTTTTCGGCCTTCTAGATGCCATTGACTTTGATGTTGTAAATAACATTTCATTTGATTTGATATTTCTGCAGCTTTTGAAGACACCACCACAATGAGGTTGGTTTACAAAGACTTCTGTCTAGTTTTCTTTAGGCCACCAAACTTGGCCACTGCTTTGGTGTAAACCTTTTCATATAGAACACATTCAATTTTCTTCCGGAGAAATTATACAGCTTGAGTTTGTTTTGGACTTGGCACCTTTTTCTCCTTCTGAATGTTATTTCCATTACAACTTTGCAAAACAATAAATTCATAATATTAGAGCTGAACCAGATTCAAGTCAACAGAAAATCCATAGCAAATTATCAAATTGATACGATACATTCATCTTCCTCCTAGCTGAATGCCTCCTCTTATTTCATTCCCTATGGGTCCAAGCTCTAGAAGCTGCACTAGAGACCTTCCATTCACTGTCATAGCTGACTGCCCAAAAGAAGTACCCACGAAGCCCATGTCCAAGAGCATATTTCACTTTGATCGTTGTTGATCGGACATCATCATACCCAATCCAGGATGTGCCCACAAAGGAATATGCTGCTACGTACACCGTGTCATAAGCCACCGTGGCGTTGGTCCTCCTGTTAAAATTCTCCACCTGTGCAAATGTCAGCACCCCATCATCCCCTGGGCCCAGGCCGACGGCATCGGACCCGATCTTATGCTGATTTGGGTCTTTGAGTTTCCAAGTCCTTCCATACAACGGCAGGCCCATAACCACCTTCTGACGGTAGACCCCGGCCTTGACCCATGAAGTTAGCCCGTAACTCGTGCTTATGTTACTATTTGGGTCATAAAGGGCCGCATGGGCCCCCGTTTTTGAAGTATCCCAACTTCCGTGATAGTCAAAGCACATAGCGTTGATCCAATCCAGGTTTCGGTTAATGGACTGGACCGGGTACGAACGATTGACGTCGGAAAGGAAGAAGTCGACGGAGAAATACACCGCCGCCGTGAGCAGAAGAGGGGCGCAGTGGGTAGTCTTTGCCTCTGCCTTGATTGCTTCCCGCCATTCGTTGAATAGTATGCTCAAGTCTAGCATTTGCTTCGGATTCTCGGGAAATTCCCAATCGAGATCCATCCCGTCAAACCCGAGATTCCGCGCCACCTCCAAGGCTGAGTTGATGAAAGCTTTGCGCGAAACTGGGCTGGAGGCCATGCGAGCAAAGACGGAAGAATCAGAGCCTCCACCACCGATGGAGAAGAGGGCCTTAACGGGGGGCTTTTTGTGGTGGAGGGAGGTGGTGAAATTGGAGAGTATCAAAGCTTCGGAGTTGGAGATCTCGAATTTGTAGGTGACATTGTTGGGCATGAGAAAAGCATAGTAAATGTGTGTGAAGAGCGAAGTATCGATGGCCGACGGTGGAGACGATGACCATGAAGGCCAGTAAGCTGCTTTGACGGTGGAAGCTGAGGCCGTAAAACAACCAACGGAAAATGATAAGGTAATGACAATGAAAAGGTACTCAGAACGGACGAATGGTGCCATATTCAGAGCTGAAAAGATTGAGGATGATGATGAATGGATGTGTACATATGCATATATATAGTCCTGATAGTTGACTTTCTTTTTGGGTGACAGTCGACAATTGTTTTTGAAATAATAAGACGTTGCAAAAAAACAGCACGTTCTGTGATAAAAAAAATAAGGTTAAGGCCAATCATATAGTCCATGTACTTTGTACTTTCATTCATTATCACCCCTCTACTTTCTAAAAGTATACTAATGTCATCCCTCTACTCTCAAAAACCATAACATTATTGATCTTGCTTTGACGTTATTATTAACTTTATTATTAACTTGATTAGCGTCCTTGCATTTTGGTGGGATTTTTACTGTCTAAGGCTTAAGGGGTCATTTGACAGCTATGTTGTAACTTGATAATCAAGTTAATAATGAAGTTAGTGACAGTGTCAATACAAGGACGAAAATAGTATGCATTTGGGAAGTGGAGGGATGACAATAGTATACTTTTGGAGAGTAGACAATAGATGGACGAGAATAAACAATTTGGATGTACAGGGAAAACAACAAATGAAAATGAAAAGTACAAGGATTGTAATAGGCTTTAACCCTAAAAAATATCAAAACATGTAATACCAACCACAAAATAAATGAAAAACAATGTAGGTTTAACTTAAATCTTATCCATCATATGGTTTGGATTAGACGCTTTGATTTTCATTTTTTTAATAATGATATCCCCTTAAGTTCAATTTAACTTCCTAATTTGATTTTTACATAAGATTTAACTTGATAATTTTATAAAATAAATAGATAACATGTGAAACTTTTTTTCTTTCTATATGTAATTCTTATTAAGTATGTTCTTAAATTTTAAAAAAAAAATCATTTGTCATTCATTTGTTATATAAAATCATTAAGTTAATTTATATAAAATTGAGGACTGTGACAATTAAAAAAAATCCTTGATCAATTAGGGTGTTTTTGTATCAACTTTTCATAACTTAGGCTAACCCATCTTTAAGTAATTTTAAAGATGCATCTCCCACATTACATTTAAGGAAATTAATTTCTTTAGATATTGACTCTGAAACTTGAACCTTAAGTCTAATTTTACAATATATTACTCATTTACTAGTAAATTTAACTTAGAATTGTAGTTATTAATAATGAATGCTTATATAAATTGAAATAATTTTATTTCAAAATATTCATTCTAAAATTCAACCCAATAATCATTACTCTTATTTTTGGCATTCAAGATAGTTGACATTTAGAATTGAGAAATTTAAGCATTAAGAAATGTCCACATAGTTGCCAGATTACAAAGGAATATTATATTAAGAAGAGGTTGTTATTTTAATGGAATTCAAATCTTGACCACAGTTTTTGAGGGTAGTGTACAATTATAGTATGTTTGAATAAAAAAAAAATGAAGGAGAGGAAAACATTTTTTGATTAATCAAATTATAACGTTATAATTTAATTAATAAAAAAAATTTCCCTCCCTTCCCATTCCCTCGCTTCTATTATCCTCAAGTCAAACATACGGTTAATGATGCATAAGCCTCGATAAAAAAGAAAAAAAGAAAAAAAAAAGAAGGAGAAAAATACTGCTTTTGCCTGCCGAATCATTTTGGTCCAAAGTGGCAATAATGTAGGTAATCATTCAAAAGCATTTAATAAAATAAGACCATTTCAAAGTTGGCAACATTTATTTTTTCATTTAAAAATAAAACCGTGCCCCGTGAGGTTAGCCATATCCTCTACCACCACTAATAAACCCTTGTTTTTGCTGCTTATTAGGTCCAATATCTTAAATGGAATAAACAATTCTAACGAATATGGTTAATGGAACGTGACCCGAATAAGGTAAGGATGCAATTGAACTAACATAAAAAGTAAAAAACAAAAAGATGCCAACGAGACTTTACTTTATTTGTACAATTTGGATTGTTCAAAGATCCTTTTGTTTTAGTCCAAGGTGTTCAGATGGCAAAAAGGGGGACTCCTATTGTTTATTGTATCTTATTCTCAGCATTATTTGTCATCGCTAGGACTTTTGTGAGATAAAGGAGGTAGCAAATAACAAATAAACTTAATGCATCTTTAAATTGGGTATTGTAGGAATCCTGCCAGAATTTTAATTTCTAATACTTCTTTCCACAATGATTGTTTCAAGCTAAACTGCATAACATTAAATATTGATTGAAAAAAAAAAAAAGAAACGTTCGAATATTATCTTGCACCTAACATTGAAAATGTTTATTGAATGTAAGATTTTTTTTTTTTTTTTTACACATAAGTGAAATGCATTATATTAGTGAGAAGAAATATTCATGTACAATAATTTACATAGCTCAGATGATGGGCAAAAAAGCTAGTAAGGTGGAAACTGATCCTTCAACACACTTTCAGCTATAAAATCAGCCACACTTTATTGGCTAATCTGGGAACATATATACAAAAGAAAAAGATTCAAAGACACTGGAACATAAGATAAGCAAATTGAAGGTTAAAAAAAAACACACACACACATACATTGTCTTGTCTAGATATACCCCATCCACCCTCGTATCTTAGAGCGAAAGGGAAAAATCCACTCAGCCCAAGTGATTGAGCATGTCTTATTCATTCCTTTTGAGTCCAAGCTCTTGAAGCTGCACTAGAGACCTCCCATTCACTGTCATAGCTGACGGCCCAAAAGAAGTACCCACGAAGCCCAAGTGCATAAGCATATTTCACTTTGATCGTTGCTGATGTGGCATCATCATACCCAATCCAAGATGTCCCCACAAAGGAATATGCTGATACGTACACCATGTCATGTGCCACCGTGGCGTTGTTCCTCGTGTTAAATTTCTCCACTTGTGCAAATGTCAGCACCCCATCTTTCCCTGGGCCCACACCGACGGCATCGGACCCGATCGTATGCTGATTTGGGTCTTTGAGTTTCCAAGTCTTTCCATACAACGGCAGGCCCATAACCACCTTCTCAGGGTAGACCCCGGCCTTGACCCATGAAGTTAGACCGTAACTTGTGCTTATGTTACTATTTGGGTCATAAAGGGCCGCATGGGCCCCCGTTTTTGAAGTATCCCAACTTCCATGAAAGTCATAGCACATAGCGTTAATCCAATCCAGATTTTGATTAATGGACCGGACCGGGTACGAACGCCGGCCGCCGAATTGGAGGAAATCGACGGAGTAATACACCGCCGCCGTGAGCAGCAGAGGAGCGCGGTTGGTAGCCTTTGCCTCTGCCTCGATTGCTTCCCGCCACTCGTCAAATAGTACGCTCAAGTCTAGCATTTGCTTTGGGTCCTCGGGAAATTCCCAATCGAGATCCATCCCGTCAAACCCGAGATTCCGCGCCACCTCCAAGGTTGAATTGATGTAAGCTTTACGCGTAACTGGGCTGGAGGCCATGCGTGCAAAGACGGAAGAATCGGCGTCTCCACCACCGATGGAGAAGAGGGCCTTAACGGGAGGCTCTTTGTGGTGGAGAGTGGTGGTGAAATTGGAGAGTATCAAAGCCTTGGAATTGGAAATCTCGAAATTGTAGGTGACATTGTTGGGCATGAGAAAAGCATAGTAGATGTGTGTGAAGAGTGAAGTATCGATGGCTGAGGGTGGAGACGATGACCATGAAGGCCAGTAAGCTGCTTTGACGGTAGAAGCTGAGGCCGGAAAACAACAACTGACGGAAAAGGATAAGGTAACGACAATGAAAAGGTAGTCAGAACGGACGAATGGTGCCATCTTTTCAGAGCTGAAAATAATGGGGGACGATGTGGAAAGGGTGTGTACATATATATGCTGTTGATGTTAACAATTTTTTTGGGCCTGATTGTTTGACAATTCTTTTTGATAAAATAATAGTTAGAACTAATTTTTAAGAGAAATTTATATTCTCTTTCTTCAGTTTAACTTGTTTTTATTTAATAAAATAGAAATAAAATAATATATTTATTAATAAAATTTTATATTTATTTTTAATTAATAATCACTTAAATAAAATTTTTTATTTAATATTTAATGTAATTGCGTTTTTAAAATGAGGGTAAAATATAAATAAATACTGTAAATGACATCTTAAAAAATAAAAAAAATTAATTTTAAATATCTTAGATTAAAAATAAAATTGAATGGAGGAAGTAATATATTTTTTTTATTTTGGTCAATTAAGGTGTTTTTGAAGTACTTGACTAGTTTATTTTCAAGTGATTTCAAGAATATATCTTGTATTTAAGAAAATTAATTTATTTAGACTTTATTAAGTATAATTATAGTTTT